TCAAAAAGGAAAGTTTTAAGGTAAGTTTAAAGCCTTGCCTGACTCCAGTCACTGGTGTTCTGATAAATGTGACTGGGAAATGAAAGGACTAAAGAAATGGACCAATCATTCCTTCCCATGATTCAGTGACCATGTTTACAGTGAGTGGACCTGCTGTGTCACAGGTAGCAGCTGAAGGCGGAGAATTGGCTCCTCCCTCCCCTCCATCTCATCTCCTGCTGGGAGCTGACTGAACACAAGGATCTGCTCCACCAGTCGATGCTGAGCTCAGGAGAGCAAAACCACATCTTTATTCATCCAGATCTTAACTCCCTCTGGGTGCACATCTAGGTTTCTGGACAGGAAGGACTGATTCTGCTTGATACGAAGGAGGAGGATCACCATGAGCTTCTCTCAGAGCTCAAACTGAAACCTGCCATCAGAGGATCACATCATCATAATCATCATCTTCATCACTAACAAACAGGTACATTTCACCCAAACATTAAATAGCCGAGGCTGTGTGGGTAACTGAGAAGACATTCTAATGGGTGTGTGGCTTAGAAAGACACGTTGGTCCCAAAGTCTAATTTTAGTGGCTGTAATCTGGGAGAAAAGGATTTAAGTGAACTGGACTGGGAGCTTAATGTGCTAATGTGACTGAACAAACAAACGCAGCGTCTATTTACAGCCGTTTAACTTCATAGACATGTTGAACATTCAGGTTGGGGACATAGGAGGAAAGCTTTCTCTGACGTTTTTCAGTTTGCCTTATTAAAAACCATGAATAATAATGATCTGGACGGCTTTCAGAAAAAGACTGAAACCAGACATACACCCACTGCTCAGACACACAGAGAAAAGGGGGCCAGATGGGGCCTCTAAAGTCTCGGGGTGGCCACTGAAACTAGAAGCCATAATTTCAGAGTTTGAATCTACTATTGTGATAAAGCTGCCTATAGAAATCATAAATCAGTGAAAACCTCCTCCTATCTTGGTTTATTGTGTGATTTTTTAATGTTATGTTTTTGGCTGCAGTGGCGCCACCAGGAGAGTGGCCACGGCCGCCCTGTGCAATGCCCAGGCCACCCCACTGTTTAAACTATAGTAGCATCAGTTTAGCATTTCATCCCGTTATGCTAAGCCTGCGACGTAACATTAAAAATCACTCAATAAACCAAGATCTGACTAAATGTCTTTAATGTATTTAGTTTCACTGTATTTTGCCAAACAGGCAAATAAATATTGCAAAGAATGTGTTCACCAAGTAGTTGGAGTTCCCACAGTCCATGAATGCAACATGGAACGGGACATCTCTCCAGCTCTGCTACAAGCTGTCAATCAAGTGTCCCGCCCACTCCTGTCAGATTGGGGTCAAAATCTGAATGTGAAAAAAAATTTATTTGAAACTGTAAAAAAAATCCTGAAACTGAAAAAATGAATGTGAAACTAATAAAAAACAAATTACAAAAACTGAAAGAAGGGATTTGAATCTGAAATTATAAAATCTAAAACAGCAAAGAAGAAAAGAAATTAAAAAAAGGAAAGAGTGTAATTAAAATACAAACCTGAATTTAAATTGAATTCTTATTGTTCTATGTTTGATTTTTTTTTTGATTAAAATGGTAAAAAAAATTTATATTCAATATCAACTTATATATCGTCTCTTATTCTGTTGGCAAAGCTGTGGCACAGC